CGGGATCCTTCTTTCCCACCTCTAGCAAGTACTAGAAGCAGTAGCACCCTCATCCTCACAGACTCATATGGAACCTTCTGAGATCCTGATATTCTTGGCACCTATTCCATTTGGCAAATCCTTTATTCACAATTATATCCTAAAGGACATAATAAGTGATAGTTAAGATAAAAATGAAAACTCACCGACACTGGAGTATGGGTGGGGTTACTATTGCTGTGATGAATCACAACCACTAAAAGCAAGTTGGGAAGCAAAGGGTTTATTTGGCTTACACTCCCATTTCACTGAAGGACAGCAGGACAGGAACTCACACAGGGCAGGAACCCAGAGTCAGGAGCTGATGCAGAGGACATGGAGGGGAGCTGCCTACTGGCTTGCTGTCATGGCCTGCTCAGCATGCTTTTTTATGGAATCCAGGGCCAATATCCTGTCTGGCACCATCCTCCATGGTCTGGGTGTTCTCCCTCAATCACTATTTGAGAAAATGTTCTGCAGACTTGCATTGTCTCAGTTGAGACCCCACTTTTCCTGGTTACTTTAGCTTGTGTCAAGCTGACATTTAACTAGCCATCACAATAATCACTGCTTAAGTGGCTTTGTGTAAAATGAGGGTATAGAAGTAGATGGAAGGAACTGAACCTTGGGAAAGCAAAGAAAACAACTGTCAAGGGAGTAAACAGGCTGCAATTCATTGTGCTTCATGCTTTGGCAAGTATGACACTAATGGATTCCACTCACACTCCTTGTGAACAAGGCATGGCCTCATGTTAAACAGGAGGAAACTGATATTCAAGCTCAGCTATTCATTATGAAAGCAAATGATAAATCACAACACACACCTTGTATGTCTTGCTATGAAAGCTACACTTTCTGCACTATTGTCTTATGTGACCATTATAAGGAGAGAGAACGAGTGTCTTTCATTTTAAAGACATTTTCTTACAGAAGGAGGCTAGTGTAATAGTGGTTGATTAGTATAAACAGATCATGTAGGTAAGGATGCTGCTATCCTGACCTACATGAGCACAACTAACATGGGGGATTTAGTGTATTTCCTGTTGCTATTCGTGTCCCAGTGAATGAACAATTTTTTTTAAAGAAAGCACATTCAGGGGCCAGAATAAATCTTACAGCATTGCTTTTCTTAATTTCAAGGTGAATGGGTGACAATTTCAAAAAAGAAAGAAAGAAAGAAAACAAAACCAAAAATGGGTAGTATTCATGCCCTTCAAAGTAATTAGCAACTTTCAGAAGTGATTGGAATAAAACAATTATTGTCATTGATCAGCTCTGAATAGATAATTTTAAACAAAGTCATTGTGTGCTCAGCAGATTAGAGCTTGTTAACTGCAAGTTCTAAATGACCTCTTAAGCTAGTCAGACCAGTGATGCATATTCCTCATTAAGTAACATCACTGTGTAAGTGTTCTTATAAATAATGTTTATATTAAGTACTGAAACAAATGGTAAAATGGTATATCAAAAGCCATCTGTGCACAGAAAAGATTTCTTCCACTATGTTTATCTTTATTCCCTAAAATCTATAGTAATCTGCACATCAATGGAGGAGGAACAAAAGACTTTTTTCCCCTAAAATAGAAGTGAAAGTGAAGGAAGCCTGGAAAGCAAACTCACTGACAATGTCCTAGCCAGTTTCAGTGCCCTGGTGTCATCATGGGAACATGGCGAACTCACTGATCCTCAGCTCTACCTACCTTTGCTTTCTCTATGAATTGATTCAGGTGCTTCGCATGTACGATTGTAGTAACAAGAAGAGTAAAAAGACATTCCTCTGTGGGTTAATGGAAGCATCATGCGTATACATACACATGATGTTGTCTAACACGGTCCCTTCCTATATTGACAAAAACACTGAAATTAGGGCGAACTTTTCTTTGTGTGACTAAGACTGTGCTCTTCATTCTGTAGCCACAGAAACATAGCACCGTTTCCAGGCTATGAGACTGTCAGCATCCAGTTTCTAAAAAAAAGAAAAATTAGCAATGTGTGTCTTTTCAGTCACCAAAGTTGTTATTATAAATCATGCTTACTGCGTGGCACAATAAATATGAATAGAGTTATAGGTAATCTAAAGGACTGAGCTTTATGTATGACATTATTTAACCACTTTTAAGTAAAGCCAATATATAATTTTTCTTGTACTCATCATGTTTTAGACATGAAAGAAAAAAATGAAACAACAATTTGATATTGTGACTTATATTAATTCTTAACTGTAAGAGTGAATCACTAAATTTATAGCACTTTGCAAATTTGTTTTAAGTCATTTTTAGTGTTCAACTTACTGTTATGCTGTTATTTTCTATAAAGTGAGCACTTCAATCTGAACTGAAGTGATTGGGGTGCTAAAATCAAGACAAATCACTCAAAATAAGAGTCTACTGGCCATCTCCCAGTCCTAGTCCCTTGGCGAAGTAATGACATCTGATTGAGAAATCACTATTCAAGTGTTCCAGGACAAAAGGGATTCTCCAAGAAACAATCAATTACATTTGTTGTCCAGTCCATCCCTACCATAGTACCTACTCACAGAATTTAAATGTCTTAAACATTCCCCAGCAAAAGAAAAAGGATCTCTTCTAACAAGGGTATTCAGTCCTTAGAGATGTAGAAAGAAATTATTAAAGGCAAAGACTTCTCTTTTAAAACACTGTGCATTGGAAAGAACAAGAGGGAGGGACAGCATTGACTGATTATCCTGAGATATTTATTTAACAAACTTGCAGACCAAGGGTAGTTTGTTGATAGATGCTTTGCTGTCATTGATCAATGAGAACAAAGAGGTAAGTCGGGAGATTTTAGCAGGGATATGCTAAACTTGCATTTGTCACAGATGAAGAAGCTGGACACTGAGCATCTGTGTGTCTCATCCAAGTCAGTGTGGGAAGGTGTGCAAGCTCTTCTCTACTTGCCAACAAGCTCAAAGACTCTTTTCCACATGTTTGATCCCTGCGATTATGAGACTCAAGGGTGGACCTCAGCATTGCCCACCAATTCATATCAAAGACAAACTGACAAGGGATGACACTATTACTATGATTCTGAAGGAATGGATGCCTTCCAATGGCTATACCGGTGTAAGCGTCTTACACAGTTCTGTTTTAGGTTAAGGGAACCTCAGTTCAGTAAGATCAGAAATCATCGTGAAGATGCAAGCCACACGTATGCATTATTCCATCCCTGTCTTCTGGGCTTCTCTTTTTAGTTACTAAGGCTTAGTAGCATGGGGCAGAAGATCTCTCATCATCCCCCCTCCCCTGGGGACCACAGAAACAGCTATGACTCTGGACATTAACTGTATTACACTCTCCAGTGGAACATGGTGTTTCACATCTGGACTTTATAGGGCACGAGGATCAGGAGTTCAAGGCCAGCCTTGGCTATATAGTGAAGGGTATGTGAGACCATGTCTTTTCAGAAAAGAAAAACTGATTTAGGTTGTCAACAACTGGTTACTTTTTCCTTTGGAGACACATCTGATATGAAGTAAGCAGATCAGAATCTTTAAGTCTCCATGTCTGAGCCAATGGTAGCACTGCAAAGAGAGTGGAGACCCAACACATCTCAGATTAGTGCATGCCCTGAGAAAAAAGATCCCAAGTGCTTCTGTGTGGGTGCTCCTGGAGAAGGCTAGGGGCACCCTACACTTCAGTTCTTCTGTGTGGGTGCTCCTAGGGAAAGCTAATGGCATCGTACACTTGAGTGCTTCTGTGCGTGGGTGCTCCTGGGGAAGGCTAGTGGAACCCTACACTTCAGTTCTGTGTGGGTGCTCCTGGGGAAGGCTCGTGTCTGGCCTCTCACCAGCTGCAGGGAAACAGAACAGTGTACAGTTACTGTAGAAGGCCTGCTTCAGGCTCCCATGAGCCTTCACAGAGAAGACAGCAGTGTTTCAAGAGCAGCACACAGATTCAGAAGTGTTAACCAGGTGCTGTCATTCGGTACATGGCTTTCAGAAAGAATTTGCCACCTTGCCTGGCCCAAAGCAGAGTGTGCTCTTTGTAGGCAATGTAGGTCTTAGAATGATGAATAAAATTCAACTGAGAAATTTTCCTATATATAATAATTTAGCAATTAAGCATAACTACATTGTTTTAAATAAAAGGAATAAATATGTTTGCACTCATTGCTAAAATCTACAGCAATCAAATTCAAGCATATGGTTGCTATGTTCATCATGTTTGTGTGTGTGTGTGTGTGTGATGTGGTGCATGTGCCTGTAAGTATAGGAGTGTGCAGGTGAGCACTCACATGGAGGCTAGCGGCAGATGTGGAGTTTTCATCGCCCTTTCTGCACCCTCCTTTCTTTTGAGACAACGTCTCTCAGTGAACTCGAAGAGCATCAATTTGGCCTTGTGGGCTGCCTAATGAACTTTAGGGAAAAGCCTGTTGCCACCCTGTCAGCACCGGGGTTACAGGAAAGTACCATCAGCTGGTTACAAGAGCTCTGGGGATCAGAACTCGGTTCCTCATGCTAGGATGTCAAACATTTGACCATCTATGCCATATAGTCAGCCCTAAAGTAACCTTTCTATTAGATAATCAGCACAAAAATGATGGAAAAAATTCTGTGCCAGAGACAAACTTGATTACTGCTAAATCATATGAATAGTTTTAATTACCTTATATGGGGTCGGATTTTTAGATCTCAGAGCCATGTTCATCTATTTACCATGATATATACATGGCATATGGACAGCAATGCATCACTTCATTGATATTTGTGGCCTTTCTGTAGCTATGGTTCAGAGATCCCTGGCATTACCAAGCACGGGCATTTATAACTGTGGTTTACATTTTACTCTAATTTCCAGTGCTGCCATGTGTTTAGTATAGCCAACTTCTTAACTAGTGCTCTTTCCCCACCTTCCATTAGCATATCAATCAAATTTGCATTACTTTGCTTTGCTGGTATTATTAAAAGGGAATTCAGGGCACAATTGACTTTTCATTTGTTTAACAAGTGAAGAAATATTTACCCTGACAGCCATTTCATTGTAGAGATTCATCTTCATATTATAATACGCTGCCTGTGAATCAAGAAAAAAGAAAAGATGGCATAGATTTCAGTTACACAAAGACAGTGTAGCCTATTTTTACATATAAAGGATAAGAATCTTTATACATAATACATAATAAGAGTTCTGGGCTTAGAAAATGAAATCAAACTTTGTATTGAAGAGATAGGCTTCCTAATACATAATGCAAACTTAACCAGAAAAATCTATGGTAGTCAAACTCAGAGCTAATGGAGATATATGATCATAAAATGCTCTCCGCTGAGTTTGATAATCAATGGTGCTCTGCTGAGAATAGAATAACAAAGCAGAAATATTCACAAGTGCTGGTGACACGTCCTATGGTATGATTTATTCACTGGGGTTCTCTTAGCCAAAACTCACAGGAACATAAAAGGAATTCATATTTCAAGACGTCGGGTTTAATGAAAAATTCAAAGAAATGCTGTCTTCAGTCGAAACCGTTCAAGGGTACGGATGCAGTGATGGGGCAAAATTGTGCCTTCCAACCATCTACGTGAGATGCCATGTGCTTAGCTGCCTCCTGAGTCAGCCTTGGGGATTTTGTGTCACTTAGTATTCATTTTACCTCCATAAAATCACAAATATAATGATATCACATTACCGCAAATCCCTTGGTAGAGTGAATATTTCCTAAACTCTTAGTTTCTTTCTAAGAAAGACACCATCTACTAATACCAAAATCTGTGTTATTTAAAGAAGCATTTAGCAATATTTCTTATTCTAATGAAAATACTCTCTTGAACTAAAATTTCCCTATCTGCTTTGTTTTTTAATTTAAAATAAAAAACTCACAGAGCTCACAACAGTAAAATCAACAGTAAAAGCATTTACACATATATTTTTTCAACATGATATTGTTGACACAGAAAAACCACTCTCACCCCAAAGAAAAGAGACAGTGTACCCTGGAGACAAATCTGATTGACCATAGCTTAGGAATGCAGATTTATGTTATCTCAAGTTCCATGTTCCCACATGGTAACAGCTTGATGAAGTTTTAATAGTTACAAAACAAAGAAAATTGTAAAATAAGTCACTTTCAGAACATACTGGTGGACACATTAGGTGGCAGGGTCACAGCCAAACAGGAAAATCCTAGCTATAGGACTGAGGATTTCAGGTGCACTCTTAGCCTTTGGTTGGTGGAGACCAGAGGCTCTTTAGCACAATCTGAAAGGTTCTGCATGTTTGTCAAAAGGATGTTAGGTCTGACAGAGCTGGGCAGAGAATGATTATTAAGGAGTCTGAAGACGCCAAGACAAATTTTAAGTGTGCTCTGGACCTGCTCTGCCGCAGGCTTTGCACTAACCAGCCTTGCAGAACAGCCAGTGGAAGGCATGCTTCCTTCTAAGAACTTCTAGTGATACACAACCTCAAGCATTTTTCTCCAATCAGAAGACATGCAACTAATAGAACTTCACCCTAGCTTTTAAGGATCAAGTTTCCTGGGTAGAAATAGAAAAATAAATTCAGTCCTCTGTCAGGGGCAATTCTTCATGACAGACAAGAGTCCATACAAATACAAAGGCTTTCCCATAATCAGCCTGTGTGAGTGGCCTGGGGTGATCCAGAGCAGACTGGGAAGAGCTGCGGAGATGTGTGATTCACCAACAGTCTGATTGATTACAAGACGGTGGACTGCTCTGTGCTACTAACATTACTGCGCTTAGCCTCTCTGTTTAACTTCCTTAAAGCAAATGTGGCATTCTTCCTGTCATTTGAGGTGAATTAAAATACCTAATTTCATACTGTATTTATTCTATTCATGCTGAAGTTGACATTGTCATGAAATGGATATGTGTGTGTATTTCTATAAGTATTTTCATATAATGTTTTTTTTCTTTTAGTTAAAAATAAAAAATTCAGAGCTCACAACAGTAAAACTAACAGTAAAAGATTTACATGTATATTTCTTTCCTCAACATAATATTGTCGACACAAAAACACAACTCTCACCTCATGAAAAAACAATTATTGGAAACTATTTTTTCAAGCAGAAAAAGTTCTGCTTATATATATATATATATATATATATATATATATATATATATATATAAGCTATTTGAAAGTAGTGTGTGAGCTTTTGAACTCCAGACAAGTTTGAAGCATAACTTTAGTTTGTTTTTTAAATGACCTTTATGTGTGGTGCTCATGGGGAGAAGTCAGTTTTCTCCTATGGCCCAAGGATAGACACCTCCACCATCACGCTTGTGTCTGCGTGGCTTTGGAAAGAGTGTCTGTCAGTCTCCTGTTCTATACCCCCATCCTTTAAAAGGTGTTACATGCTTCCTCGAGCTGGTGTGAAGTAAAAAGAGAGAAAGTAATTAGGACACTGGGGACACAGTTGATAGGAAAGGGACCCACAGCTCTGTGTGTGGAGGTTAAACATTTAACTGCATAAAAGGACGAAGATTTTATGAACTAAGTGGGGAAGTCTGTATTTCAAAGGCATTGCTACCCCAAGCCTGCCCATGTGCGCCAGCCTTGTTTATCTTTCAGAGCAGGGTGCCTGCGTGTGGGGCATCTTCACGTGCATCGGGCAAGCTTGTTGTAAGATGGCAGGCAGAGTAAGAAGAGCAGGACCTTTTCACTTCATTATAATCTTGCCTACCAGCTAAACAGCTCTGACAGTAGACAGCTACCTTGAAGAAGGTCGGAAAACATCTGGTTTAAAGGAGCAGGAGGAGGCAGGGCCTCAATTCCCAGAAAAGATATGACCGTCTGTAATCTAATTCCTGTTACCCCATATCTGGGACCTGTCACCCTCAGAGGATCAAAGCAGCTTGATTTTCAAGCTTATGTCTCCTGCTCTTGGTTTCCTAGATTTTCACATCCCTATTCTCGTGTGAGCCACTAATGGATTCTACGTGAGTCCCAGGTTCCCTGGTCCAACAGCTTTGAAAATAAACTCCAAACAGCATCAGACACCAGTATCACATGGCTGACTTGAAATGCCAAACCTAGAAGAGACAAATACCAGAAAGGCAGTAGCCAGTGACTTGACATTAAGAAACGTTTTGGAGATAAAATGGAGATGGCTGCATGAAAATAGATTGGATGAGTCCAGAAAGACGGCTCAGCTGTTAGGAGCCCATAATGCTTTCCAGAGAATCTCATTTGGGAGTTCCCAGTCCCCTCCACTGCTGTAGTTCCAGGTCAAATACCCTCTCTGTCTTGTGCAGACACTCATGTGCACATACCCACCAATACACACACGTACATATCATTAAAAACAAAATGCTTTCATTTAAAGTCAATAAAAGTTCCTTTCCTTGTTATTCAGTTAAATGTTCTATCAAACATTAATCCCTTGTAAGAAATGTAGAATGGTTAACTGTATATTAATATTGTGAGCCTTGAATCTCCAGCAGTGTAGTAAATTTTTATTCTTTGAACAATAATGTTTTAAAACAAAAAATATCCTTATCAGTTAAACTGTTCTACCATAAAGTTATAAATATTAAGTCACTGACTAGATGATCACAATTTAAAAGGTAAGATTAAGTTACATATATTTACTTTGCAACAACGTATCAAATTAATCATATGTTAAAATAGTCTTTAGAGTTTCAAACTGATCTCTGGCTGTGTTAAAAAAAGAGTATTTGATATAGAGCATATCATTAATTATATAATGGCAAAATATAGAAAATGGTAATTTTAAAAATAAATCACTTTGTATGAAAACTGTCCTGTATAGTTTATATTGGCAAGTCCTATAGGAACACAAATGCCCTAATAAGGAGAAGGAAAAGGACAACCTGTCCTGCTTCTGTTGCCTACAGAATTATTATCTTAGCCAGGCATGGTGATGAACATGGCCTGGTTCAGACACCCAGATGGCTGACAGGAGGACCACAGTATTCAGGCCATCACAGACAGACAGCACAGTGAGATCTAGTCTCAAACATATATACATAAAACAAGGAAAGGTATTTTAATTCAACTCTATCTAAAGCAATGTATAGTAAGAATAAACTATATAGACTATTCCATGGTTGAAGAGGAAAAAAATAAGGAAAGTCAATTAATACTCTTTAAAGGACAATCCCCCAAGAGGACATAACAATTCTAAATCTGTATGTACCAAATACAGGTGGACATAATTTCATAAAGGAAATACTACTTGACTGAAAACCACAGATGAATCCAAACATAATGATATTAGGGTACTCTGACATTCATTCTCACCATTAAACAGGCTATCTGGACAAAAACTCAACAGACATCATAAACCAAGTGGATCTCACAAAAATCTAACTCCACCCATATACTAAAAGCAGCCCATGAAACTGTCTTCAAATTGACCATTTATCAGGCCACACAAAAGTCTTCAAAAATACAGAAAAGGTGAAGTAACATCTTGCATTCTTCTGATCGCATGGAATATAGCAAGTAGCAATTGAAAGTACAGAAACTACACAAACTCATGGGATTTAGCAACACACTGCTGAACAATAGAAGAAGGTCAAGGAAGAAATAAGTAAGGCAGTTTTGTAATTCTTAGGGCTGAATGAAAACTGAACCTAATGGGACTGCAGAGATGGCTGAGAAGTTAGGAGCACTGCTGCTATTCCAGAGGACCTGGGTTCCAGTCCCAGTATCCACATGGCAGTTCACAATTGTCTATAACTCCTGTTCCAGGGAATCCACACCCTTACCTAGACATGCATGTGGGCAAAACACCATTTTACATAAAATACAATTAAATAAATTATAAAAATTTCTGATCAATTCTTAGAAATAATAAAATTATGTAATATTGGTCTAGCGACCACACAGATTTAAAATCTACAGAGTCTCAATTCTTAAACCTTTCTTATATCTAGAAAAAAAGAAAAGAAAATGAACATACCACAATCTATGGGGCATAATGAAGGCAGACATTAAAAAAAATCTTATAGCACTAGCTACCTACATTAAAAGTTTTGGGAGCTCTCAAATTAATAAGTTAATGATGCAACTTAAGGAATTGTAAAAACAATAAT